AATCTATATTTGGGGTGTATGATGAAGTTCGTTTGGCCTTTAAAAACATTATCCTTGCTTGCATCAGATTTTTTCACGCCGGGACATTATTGTCTCGACTCTTGATTAGTTGTCCTACAACCATTATCTGCGATCGGCGTTACTCTAAGGAAGAAAAATTGTAACGCTGTACGAACACACTGGCAAGCCTTACCAGTAAGAAAATCCAAGCACTATAGACTGGCCCGAAATCTCTCCTAATTTAAATCCAATCTAGAATCTGTGTTCAATCTGCAATGTACGACTTTGTGGAGGGACATACGAAGTACTAACATGTGCACTGGGTCATATTTCATAGGAAAAATACGTTAAAAAAAGGAAATAATAACGGAATTATTTGATTTGTTTCATTTAATTTGAGCAAATGTGTAAATTCCAGACGAACAGTTTCTTCCCGTGAACCACTGCTCTATGGAAGAAACTCCCAAGTGGATGCTTCCCCGATCACTACAATCTTAACCTGTTCAAGTCTAGGGTCAACCATTATTCATTTAAGTCGCGATTTAATAAGAAAGACTGAATCAGTTCAAAAATTCATCCACAAATAACTATAACCTTTCAACTTGTGAAGAAGACCACGATGCAAATCTTTGTCAAATGTCTTCGAGATATGTCCAAAGCAGCAGCCAATGTTTCAGCATTGTTAGACTCTTTCCGCAATAATCGTTCAAACATCAGCAGTTGACCTGGTGAAGAGGGGTGAGATGCTTGACAAATTCAGCGTTGATTAGTGCTTTGCCAAAACGAGATAGAAAGCAAATAGGCCGATTAGTGTTTTTCCAAAAACAAGATATAAGGCAAATAGACCGATTAGTGCTTTGACAAAACGAGATAGACCGATTAGTGCTTTGCCAAAACGAGATAGAAGGCAAACAGGCCGATTAGTGCTTTGCGAAAACGAGATAGAAGGCAAATAGGCCGATTAGTGCTTAGCCAAAACGAGATAGAAGGCAAATAGACCGATTAGTGCTTAGCCAAAACGAGATAGAAGGCAAACAGGCCGATTAGTGCTTAGACAAAACGAGATAGAAGGCAAATAGACCGATTAGTGCTTAGCCAAAACGAGATAGAAGGCAAACAGGCCGATTAGTGCTTAGCCAAAACGAGATAGAAGGCAAATAGACCGATTAGTGCTTTGCGAAAACGAGATAGAAGGCAAATAAACCGATTAGTGCTTTGCTAAACCGTGATAGAAGGCAAATAGGCCGATTAGTGCTTTGCGAAAACGAGAAAAAAGGCAAATAGGCCGATTAGTGCTTTGCTAAACCGTGATAGAAGGCAAATAGGCCGATTAGTGCTTTGCTAAACCGTGATAGAAGGCAAATAGACCGATTAGTGCTTTGCCAAAACGAGATAGAAGGCAAATAGACCGATTAGTGCTTTGCCAAAACGAGATAGAAGGCAAATAGACCGATTAGTGCTTAGCCAAAACGAGATAGAAGGCAAATAGACCGATTAGTGCTTTGCCAAAACGAGATAGAAGGCAAACAGGCCGATTAGTGCTTTGCGAAAACGAGATAGAAGGCAAATAGGCCGATTAGTGCTTAGCCAAAACGATAGAAGGCAAATAGACCGATTAGTGCAAAAAGAGACCGATTAGACCGATTAGTGCTTAGCCAAAACGAGATAGAATCAAATAGACCGATTAGTGCTTAGCCAAAACGAGATAGAAGGCAAATAGACCGATTAGTGCTTAGCCAAAACGAGATAGAAGCAAATAGACCGATTAGTGCTTTGCTAAACCGTGATAGAAGGCAAATAGGCCGATTAGTGCTTAGCCAAAACGAGATAGAAGGCAAATAGACCGATTAGTGCTTTGCGAAAACGAGATAGAAGGCAAATAGACCGATTAGTGCTTTGCTAAACCGTGATAGAAGGTAAATAGGCCGATTAGTGTTTTGCTAAACCGTGATAGAAGGCAAATAGGCCGATTAGTGCTTTGCCAAAACGAGATAGAAGGCAAATAGGTCAATAGTTAGAAGGATTACACTGTTCGCCTGAGTTCTTAAAAAAAAGAAAAATGTAAAAGGCAAAAAAAAAAAAAAGAAAAAAAAAATTTGATTCGACGTTTGAAAGAATTTGGATCACTCCCGAACCCACAAAAATCATTTTTTTTTTCTTTTCATCTTTTTTTTTTTTGGGGGGGGGGTATTTTGTTAATTGTGAACTCTTCTGTTGACCGAAACAAATGAATATCTGGGGAGAAAGGGCGCTGGAGATCATAGCTCTCCACAATTTCCTATCTTCTCCAACTCTTAATAAATGTGGTCTTTTAGCTATCTCTCCTAAAGTCTATCCTGCCATACATTCACTCATACTCGTTGGGTAAGTTATAGGTCGTATTCGTCTGTCCTTCTTGCCTTCAGTCTTTCCTGGGAGTATCGTATTGTCCAACTCCTCTTTCCTCATCATATAGCATAGAAATTTCCACTAGATCCAAGGAGCTGTGAACTCAGTACGAGGCCACAGTAGTGAACCCAAAAACCTGAAGAATTGAGGTGAAGGGAAATAACTTAGACATCCGATAGAGGCATGTGAAGTGGAACTAGAACAATCTACCCAGGTGGACAAAATAAAAGATTCGATTTGAAATTACAATGATCTGAACGGCCGAAACATTGTGAATATAGCAATGAAGATGAGAATAACAGTCCGAATAATGTAAATAATGCAAGTAACCACAATACCTCATCTCAGAGATATGAACAGATACTCCAATTTGTAATGATCGTGTGCGACTGATTCTTTTGCCTCCAACCATGCGTTCTGTGTTCTTGCAATTGATGCTTAGTCCTTTCTTCTCGCTTTCCTTCAATGCCTTTAACTGGAGTTCTTCTAGTTTACTTTCTGCGTTTGATAAAAAATCTGTGCCATCTACATATATTATGTTCTTAAGCCTGAGATCGTCAGTATAGAATTATGGTAGTACTACTAATTATTTCAGAATCTCCTCACTGTACAGTTTGTATATATCCGGTGAGACGACTCGTCCTTGTCTTACACTTTTCTTTTTCTGTATATTTATTGTATTCATTTTTTCCGTATGTAGCATAAGTTCTGGATTATTCTAATATCCTTCCAAAATATCTTATGGTTACCTAGCAGTTCCAATGTTTCTTTGTGACATACTTTATTAAACACGTTTGCATAATCTTTAAAACGTGCCTGTTAACGAGTTTTTTTTCTTGGCGCTCATTCGCAGAGTGTTTCCTTACATTGTTATGCTGGAGAATAATAGGACATTTTCGATATAATTCTTTCTTTACCCGATCAAAGCGCAGACAATAAAAATCTATAGTAATGGTCCTTCCATATTCCATGAGTTCGTAATAGACGACACTTTTCATATTCTACCAGACACAACACAATAACGATTATTCTTGGAATCCTGGATTTAGTTTTCGAACGGATTTCTTTGATAACCAGTTTTTTTTCTTTGGTGTTGATATTCTTTCTTCTTTTAATGTGCCGTGTCTTTTCAGGACGATGGCGATCATGGCTCTTCACTTATCCCATCACTTGTAGCTCACAATGTCTTGTCCTTTTGCCCTTTCCTCCAGGCCATATTCTGTCATCCACTTGCTTAAGCCTACTAGGTATGTCATGCGTTGATTTCACTTGTCTCTCTTCCCCTCTGTTCAACCTGTCAGTATCACATTCTCCAATTCTTCTTTCTCATTACGTGTCCAGACATTTCAGCTGCCTCCTTGTTTGCATTCTCTCCAAAACCTTATCATTGGTCACACGCCCGATCCATGATATCCTTAGCATCCTTCTGTAGAACCATACCTCCGTTGCCTCGAGTTTCTTCGTCATCTTTCAGGAGATTGTTCATCATTCATTGCCGTAAAGAATGCGTCTTCGTCTATCTGTCAAAACACTTCCCAGATATTTAAACTTCCACACCTGCTTGATTTTAGTGTTCCCGACCTGCAAATCGCCTTTCGGGCTCAGCCTTTTACTGATGAACATGAATTCTGTCTTCTTGTAGTTTATGCTTAGTCCTTTCTTCTCATTCTCCTTCGCTAACGGAGTTTTGAATTTCATTTCCGTGTCTGCTATCAGTACTGTGTCATCTGTGTATCTTATGTTGTTAAGATTATGGCTGCCAATGCTTAATCCCGGTAGGATTTGAAATTCTCTCAGAATTGCCTCGCTGTATAGGTTGAATAGGTCCGGTGAGAAGACACATCCTTGTCTTACGCCTTATTCTATTTCTGTATATTCGCTGAACTCGTTCTCTATGCACATACATGTTGTTTGCATAGGTCTTTGATTATTCTGATATCTTTACCAAATATATCAATGTTGCTTAGCAGTTCCATCAGATCCTTGTGACGTACTTTGCCGAAGGCCTTTGCGTAGTCTATGAAACATAGGCACACGTCCTTCTGCATTTGTATCGCTCTTCCTGATACCATTCTGAGCATGAATATCGCGTTCCTTGTCTCGGTGTCTTTAACGAACAAGCACTGTTCTCTTATCTCTGGTCCGATTCTGCTGCTCGCTTTGTTCATTAGAATACGGATGATGAGTTTTGTCACGCGGCTCATTAGGCTTATTGTTCCGCGACGTTCGCATTCGTTTGCGCCTGGTTTCTTAGGCATTGTTATGAAGATTGATCAGCTGGAGTGAGTATATCCCCACTGTTGTAGATTTAATTTATTTCTCTGATCTTGTCTATGCCAAAGTCATCTAAGGTTGTCAGCATTTCCGTCACAATTCCGTCTGGCCCTGCCGCCTTGTTTCTGTTCAATTTGGCCAGTGCAGCTTCTATTTCGGTTACCAAAATTCCAGGTCCATCGCTAGTTCTTTGTATTGCAGGTTGTTCCCTTTCATTGGGGAAGAATTCTCCAATATAATCGCCCCAGCGTTTAAGACTTTTTTTTTTTTGACATAGAAAACCCATTTTTCATCAACACTTAAAATGCGATAAACAGATGAATGTTTGCTATTCAAGATTAAACGATACCTGCAATTGGTGAGAGAAAAGAATTGGGCGGAAAAAAAGTGCGAATGAAAGATGGAAAAAAGAATAAAAAGCGAAAGAAAAAAAAGATGTAAAAGAAAAAGAAAAAGGTAGAAAAAAGAAATTGTGAAAGAAAAGGATTGAGCGAAAGAAAGTGCGAAAGAAAAATAGGGAGAAAGAAAATACGAAAGAATAAAAAGAAGAAAATAATCAAAAGAAAGAAAATACGAAAGAAAAAAAAGAAAAAAGTGAAAGAAAAGAGAAAAGATACCGAAAAATGAAATTTGAAATGAAAGGGTAGAAGAAATAGAAGAAAATATTTAGAATGAAACAGAAAACAGAAACAACTAAAAATGAAATAAAAACCAAGAGGTAAAAAGGTCAGGACAAAAAGTAAATATTTTAAGAGCAATGGAAATAAACAAAAGAAAGAAAAAGGGTTAAATAAATGGAAAAAGGTGAAACAAGGAGCAAAAGAAAGCAAGAAAAAAACGAAAGAATAGGAAAAAGTAAGAAAAAGATAGAAGAAAAGAAATGAAAAGGCAAAGGAAAAGAAAAATAAGAAACAAAAAGAAATAGCGAAAGAAAGAAAGCGAGAAAGAAAAGGAGGAAAAAAGACTGGAAAATGATGGATAGAAGAAAACGAAAGAAAGAAAGAAAGAAAGAAAGAAAGAAAGAAAGAAAGAAAGAAAAATCAAACAAAAGAACAGAAGAATTATGTTAAAAGGGCAGAAGTCCGAATGAGTTAAAAAGAAAGAAAAAACCAAATGAAAAGAAGGGCTGAACGAAAGAAAGAAGATTTAAAAGAAAAGGGAAAGAATTGAAAACAGAAAGAATGTGAATTCGGTTCTCAAGCAAAAGTTCATGTGGAACAATAATTTCCTCTTTGTAAGTGTTCAGAGGTAAACTCATAAATACCCTATACTCGACAAACTCACCGGCAGACGATATGATAAAATGATTCTAGATATATTTCCCTTTCATCAAAACTTGTTTCCGTCTAGATTGACTCTTCATTCATCGCGGTGAAATACGCAATTAATTCCCGGACAATTGCTCGAATTCGAGGGCGCCTGGGTAAGCAATAGTAAATCAGCTACTTCAATTTGCCGGCATTTTTTTTAATTCCTATTTATGATATTTTCTTAACCCATTTGAACCCTGCATTCCTGAACAAATTTAACCCTTCTGCCTGAGCTCCTGAGTTAAAATTCGCAAATAATTGCGATGTAATATTTCGTGTTAGGTATAAAAATAGTTACAAGTGTTTACCTACCGTTCAAACAGTGGCTGGACATTAAGTCATTTTTCTCTTCCACTGTTCAACCGGTGGCTGAGCATTACCTCATTTTTTACCTACCACCGGTAAAGCGGTGGTCAGTGCCCAGAGGATTAAGCTTGTATCTAAGTGAATTTCCTTAACCCTTTGAGCCATGCGTTCTTGAACAATTTAACCCTTCTGTCTGACCTCCTGTGTCAAAATTCGTAAATAATTCAGATAGAGTATATCACGGTAGATATAAAAATAGTTACAAGTGTTTATTCACCATTCAACAGGTAGTTCGGCATTAAGTCATTTTTCTCTTCCACTGTTCAACCGGTGGCTGGGAATTACGTCCTTTTTCTCTGCCACTGGTAAAGCTGTGGTCAGGTCTAAAAAGGGTTAAACGTGCTCATCTACAGTAAGCGAAGCTAACATAAACAAAACAGGATCAAGATCAAAGCAGCCACAGACGATATGTTATCAAATATAAGAATTCTCAAACTTGAACCGTGTTAATCTGTTTGAACTAGACTTGAGTCACACTTTCGAAGGCAAGCAAAGATGAATTTCGCGAGAGGAAAATGTAAAAATTTAATCCGAACCTTAGTTGTATCGCTTAACATGAACGACTGCATCTGGCAGCCTGTACGAACGTCAAAGAGAATCCATTAACTATAACGTGGATTTTGAATCGGATAAGCCCTAGAGACACAAAAACCTTGATAGACCGGCTGAGACATTTACTGACAAAGTAGTCGTTGTCAAGTTAGGAATTAGATTAAAATTCAGGAGAGGCAAATGGTTAAGGGCAACGATAGTGGAAGGGGAGAGGTGTGAACGACGAATTTGGGGAAAGACAATGCATTTTTTCAAAAGAAGAGTGGGAAAATGCAAAAAATAAAGGAAAAGGGTGGAAGAAAGTGTGAAAGAATAAGGGGGAAAAAAATTAAAAGAAAAAAGAAAAAAGAATGAAGAAAAGATAGAAAAAAGGAAGTGCGAAAGGAAAAGGGAAAAAGAATCAAAATAGAAAGAAAGAAAGAAAGAAAGAAAGAGAAAGAAAAAAAGAAAGGAAAAAAGGAAGTGCGAAAGGAAAAAGGAAAAAGAATCAAAATAGAAAGAAAGAAAGAAAGAATCAAGTGCGAAAGAAAAGGAAAAAAGAATCAGAATAGAAAGAAAGAAAGAAAGAAAGAGAAAGAAGAACAAGAAAGAAAAAAGGGTGAAAGGAAAAAGGAACAAAAATCAAAATAGAAAGAAAGAAACAAGTGCCAAAGAAAAGGAAAAAAGAATCAAAATCGAAAGAAAGAAAAAAAGAAAGAAAAAAAAAGAGTAAGAAAAAGAGAAAGAAGAAAAAAGGTAGAAAAAAGAAAGTGCGGAAGAAAAAGATAGGGTGAGAAAACTGCTAAAGAAAAAGATAGGGTGAGAAAACTGCTAAAGAAAAGGGGAAAAGAATCAGAACCCAATGAAGAAAAAAGAAAGAAGAAAAAGATAGAATAAAATAAAGTGTAAAAGAAAAGGATTGGGCGGGAAAAAAAGTGCGAATGAAAGAAGGAAAAAAAGAATAAAAAGCGAAAGAAAAAAAGAAGTAAAAGAAAAAGAAATTGTGAAAGAAAAGGATTGAGCGAAAGAAAGTGCGAAAGAAAAATAGGGAGAAAGAAAATACGAAAGAATAAAAAGAAAAAAATAATCAAAAGAAAGAAAATACGAAAGAAAAAAGTGAAAAAAAGGAGAAAAGATAACGAAAAATGAAATTTGAAATGAAAGGGTAGAAGAAATAGAAAGAAATATTTAGAATGAAACAGAAAACAGAAACAACTAAAAATAAAATAAAAACCAAAAGGTAAAAAGGCCAGGACAAAAAGTAAATATTTTAAGAGCAATGGAAATAAAGAAAAGAAAGAAAAAGGGTTAAATAAATAGAAAAAGGATGAAACAAGGAGCAAAAAAAGCAAGAAAAAAAATGAAAGAAAGAATAGGAAAAAGTAAGAAAAAGATAGAACAAAAAAAATGAAAAGGCAAAGGAAAGAAAAATTAGAAACAAAAAGAAATAGCGAAAGAAAAAAGCGAGAAAGAAAAGGAGGAAAAAAGACTGGAAAATGATGGATAGAAGAAAACGAAAGAAAGAAAGAAAGAAAGAAAGAAAGAAAGAAAGAAAAATCAAACAAAAGAACAGAAGAATTATGTTAAAAGGGCAGAAGTCCGAATGAGTTAAAAAGAAAGAAAAAACCAAATGAAAAGAAGGACTGAAGGAAAGAAAGAAGATTTAAAAGAAAAAGGAAAGAACTGAAAAAGAAAGAATGTGAAGGAAAGAATTTGAAAGAAAGAAAAAAAGAAAGAAAGAAAGAGGAAATAAACAGCGTAGAGACCATCTCCACAATCAAGACAGGAAGTAAGGAGTCAAAAAAGAGAGCAACAAGAACATGAAAAGCAATGGAAGATTAAAATTCCAACCGACATGCACTTAATCAGAACCTACCAAACGTTGATCCTAATTTGCTGGCTTTTCTGTCTCACGAACTCCGCACCTGCAAATCCTTGCCACTCTTCGAGAAAGCTCTGTCAAACTTCATTCACTTTGACGTACAGTTCATCAGGAGAAATTTGATTGGCTGGGTGCGATCCTAGGAACGTAGACGATAGCAACTGCAGACGGTTTGAAGAAGCGAATGACTGGACAGGCGCTTGATTGATATTCGGGTTCAACTTTGTGTAAAAAACTCCCGAATCAAAGTTCCAGCTCGATGTCTGTGCAACGCCATTCCAAGCATTAAGGCCATACCCCAGATCACGGCAAGATGGAGGAATATTTCGAAAACTGTTGTGTCGTTGTCCCTGAAATGTAAAGTAGCCAAGAAAATTAGACCTCCTCCAAACAACTTTTACTTTTATCCCTATTCTATCATTAATATTTGCCATTATTCTTGAATACAGACAATCATTTTCTTCCAGGTTTTTAGGGCATTACTGTATATTTCAAATCTACAAATCAACCATTCGTCCTTGCATTGAATACTGCTGCTATATATGGTCTGGTGCCCCCGCTGTTCATCTTGCAGTCCTCGACAAAATTCAGAGCCGGATATGCAATTTGATAGATCCTGATTTGGCATCTCGTCTACAGTCGCATTCTTACAGACGGGCTGTGGCTTCCCTCTGGCTTTTCTACAAACATTTTTCATGGAAACTACTCTGACGAGCTAATTTCACTGGTACTCCAAATTGTATGAATTTAAGCATGCTACTAGGTTGACATTCGGCCCCACCCTTTCACTGTTCTACTCCAACAGCTTCTTCTCTTGCACTTCCCGACAGTGGAACTCACTTCCTCTTACTTGCTTCACTGATAGCTATAATCTTCAATTATTCAAATGTAATAATCGAGATCTTGTGATGCCTTGATACTGATCACCGTCCTTCTCTATATCCTTTCTTCAAATACCCTCTTTACTCTTGCTCTCACTCTCTGCAAGCCCTTGGGTGCTAGGGGGACTCCCGCCTTCCTTGGGGTGAAATACTTAAAAAAATTAAGATTCTTACAACGCATTTTTTCTAATTAGGTTATCTCTTCAGAACCCGTCCTGGTATGACGATAAACTGCATCTGCGTCCTGGATAAGACGACAAACTGCGTCCAACAGCAAGGCCTCTGATCAGGAGGTTTTGAGGAGTGTGGAACCACCTCTTAATTGCTGGTGTTCCCAGGTTCACCCTGACCCGTGGTGGTAGCACCTGTTAGGGGTCTCTGCTATAGGCAAATATTTAACACCGAAACTGAGACTACAGCTGTGTTTTGAGTAAACGATAAACTACATCCGCATCCTGTGTATGACGATAAACTACACACGCGTCTTGGGTAAGACGATAAACTACGTCCAACAGCAAGGCCTCTGATCAGGAGGTTTTCTTAATTGCTGGTGTTCCAAGATCCAAAATATTACCAGCAATGCGTTTTTGTAGAGAAAAACTATTACCAGCAATACGTTTTTGAAAAAATAATATTACCAGCTATACATTTTTGAAAAATAATATTACCAGCTATACGTTTTTGAGGAAAAAATATTAACAAAAATAGATTTTTGACAAAACAGAAGTCTTACCAGAAAAGAAATATGACCAGCTATAGATATCTTCAAGGAAAAATATTCCCAGGAATAAATTTTTGAACAAAAACCTATTACCAGCAATAAAAAGTTTGTCGGTATTAAATAACCCCTTGAGGTTGAAATGCCGTAAAACAAAACAAACCAAACCAATATATACTGAGATAGATAGATAGATAGATAGATAGATAGATAGATAAAAAAATATTACCAGCAATAAAAATCTTGTCGGCATTAAATGACCCATTGAGATTGATATGGCGTAAAAAAAAAACAAATTAAACCAAAACAGCAATAAAAATCTTGTCGGCATTAAATAACTCAATGAGGTTGATATAACGTAAAACAAAACAAACCAAACCAATATATACTGAGATAGATAGATAGATAGATAGATAGATAGATAGATAGGTAGATAGATAGATAGATATGAAATGCCCAAGAGAGACAGGTAGACATGAAGAGACCAAGATAGATAGAGAGATAGATAAAAAAAAATACCTTCAATAAAAATCTTGTCAGCATTAAATAACCCAATGAGGTTGATATACCGTAAAACAAAACAAACCAAACCAAACCCTTCAGAACATTAGCATTGTTTGTTTTTCTTATTTCTTTGTTCATTTCTAATCGTTTTACCCCAAGCATGTCGATAGTACCACCACAACTCAGAGGTTACTGGCCGTGAAAGGGAATAGAGGACGAGAAACGGTCAAGGGTCTCTTCTTCCGGATTCTTCCGAAAGGATGGGCAGAGAAGGAGATTTTTTTTTTCCCGTCGAGGTGGATCCTGCAGATGTACTATCTGTTCCATGCCGGATGCCTTCTTTCCCCCTTGAGCTCCTTACCACTGTTGCGTGATATCAGTTACGTAGCGGTGGTATCACCGGCTATGACTAGCTTATACAAGCCTAGACCAGCTTAGACAAGCGGGCTGAGTGGAAACACTCGGTTCCCCACGTTAAAAACTGACCTTTTGTCACAACCTGACTCAGTGGGTTGGGGGTCAAGTAAATCTCGTGTGTTAAAGAGAATGAGAAGACTTTAGTGTGTAGGATTAAGGAACGGACAATAAAGGAACAGGTTTCAAGAAGACAGAAGATGGCGATTGACATTACATTTCAATTTTTGAAGATTGTAGGCGACAGGGAAACAAGAAATCGGAAGGAGGTCCCATTCTTAGAATAGAAGTGACGGTTGTATCTAGCTAGTACATCAATAAAAGAGTGGGACCTAAATGCCAATCTACTAGCACGCTTAAATCCATGTAGTCAGGTCACAAGGGGAAAAAAAGCTCGTCAGAGCAGTTGCCATGAAAATACTTATGGAAAAGATAGACGAAAACCTACACACGTCGGTGAGAAAGTGACTGAAGTCGTGATACCAGGTCACGATCTATATATTACAGACCCTCTTTTGAATCCTGTCAAGAATCTTTAGATATACAAAAGTATCAGGCCTGATATGGCAACACTATTCAATGCCCTGACCAGATATGACAACGATATTCAATGGCCAGACCTGATATGACAACGATATTCAATGGCCAGACCTGATATGACAACGATATTCAATGGCAGGTCCAAGTAGGTCAACGATATTCAATGGCCAGACCTTATATGACAACGATATTCAATGGCCAGTCCAGATATGACAGCGATATTCAATGACCAGACCTGACATGACGACGATATTAAATGGCCAGACCAGATATGGCATCGATATTAAATGGCCAGACCAGATATGGCATCGATATTCAATGGCCAGACCTGACATGACGACGATATTCAATGGCCAGTCCAGATATGACAACGATATTCAATGGCCAGACCTGATATGACAACGATATTCAATGGCAGGTCCTAGTAGGTTAACGATATTAAATGGCCAGACCTTATATGACAACGATATTCAATGGCCAGACCTTATATGAAAACGATATTCAATGGCCAGTCCAGATATGACAACGATATTCAATGACCAGACCTGACATGACGACGATATTAAATGGCCAGACCAGATATGGCATCGATATTAAATGGCCAGACCAGATATGGCATCGATATTCAATGTACGGACGAATGGTAGAATATATAAATGTGCAAAATGGATTCTGACAAGAAGATTTTTTTCTGTTGGAACCTAGTGAAGAAAACGTTCTAACAGCAGACGTAAGAATGGATTCAATATAGTCTTTCTGCTTCATGTCAGCGAAAAACATGAGCTCAACAAAGCGTCGAGTGTTGGCCTCCTGGAGTTTAGCATCAGCCATACTGATGTCAGGCAAAAAGTTTCCCTGTCCCTTTTCTAGAATAGTTGCTATAGGTTGACTTTATAGAGTATGTTGGAATTGCCACTAAGACCGGAATCAATGGTTATGTCATATGCGGAAATATTTAGGTGGTAAATAATATCACTGAGAAGATTGATCTGAATCAGAAACAGCGTCCGTCCAAGGATGGTGATTGGCAGTAGCATGAACTGATGTGTCCTTGGCCATCCCAATGCTCCTATGTATCTTCAGTGTCGCACTTACCGTCCTCTATGAAGACGCTTCTCAGATATTTAAACTTCCACGCCTGGTTGATTCTAGTGTTCCCGACCTGCAAATCGCATTTCGGGCTCTTCCTCTTACTGATGGCCATGCCTTCTGTCTTCTTATAGTTTATGCTTAGTCCTTTTTTCTTACTCTCCATCTAACTTCTGAAAGAGATTCTCTAATTTCTTTTCCGTGTTTGATATCAGTACTGTGTCATCTGCGTATCTTATATTGTTAAGGTTATGTCCGCCAATGCTAAATCCCCGTAGAGTTTCCAATTCTCTCAGAATTACCTCCCTGTATAGGTTGAACAGGTCTGGTGAGAAGACGAATCTTTGCCTTACGCCCCTTTTTATTTTTGTATATTCACTGAACTCGTTCCATATGCGAATGCATGCTGTTTGCTGCCAGTATAGGTTCATGATTATTTTGATATCCCTCCCGAATATATCAAGGTTGCTGAGCAGTTCCATCAGATCCTTGTGGCGTACATTGTCGAAGGCCTTTGCGTGGTCTACGAAACATAGGTACACGTCCTTCTGCATTTGTATTGCTCTTTCTTATAACATTCTGAACATGAATATCTCGTTCTTTGTTCCGGTGTCTTTAACGAACCCGCACTGTTCTTGTCCTATCTCTCAGCTGATATTACTGTGTACTCTTTTCATTAGAATACAGATGATGAATTTTGTCACGGGGTTCATTAGGCTTCTTGATCTGCGGAATTCGCATTCGTTTACGCCTGGTTTCTTAGGCATACCAAGGGTTAATTCAAATTGAAAGGAATATTTAAATATCTAGGGAGTGTCTTAAAAGAGGATAGAACGTGCGACATCGGAATCAGAAAGATGCCTTCCAAAAGCTAAGCAATGTATTAAGGAACAGAAAATTACTATTAAAGCAAAAAAACAGTGCTCATCTGCGATGTAACATCGGTGCTCATTATTTTTTAGTTAATGATGGATAATCTCATCAGAGATGAAGATAAGATTTGAAGCACAAGAGATGTGGTTCTACAGAAGGAGGCTGAGGTTACAATGGGTCAAACAGATGAAGATGAATACGGTGAAATAAAAATGTGAATAAGGAGGAAGGTTTAGAGAAAATGCAAACAAAAAAGAAATTTGGGATGAATTCGTGCACAAAATACTAATTTAATTAAGCAATTATCTGGGGACAAAGAACGAATTAATCCATTTTATTGTAACCTAGGGAAAGTTACTGAATAGAATAATCGAAAGAAGGTTGGCAATGAACGATAATACTTAGGACAAGAACAACACATACAAGATCCGCCAGCGACGTGTAGAAGTAGTCAACTGCAAGAAGCGAGTCAAGTCAATTCAACAATGAATCTCCAACTACAGGATATATCTACCAACCGCTCACACGGTCAGATATGGCACAAGGCCGAATTTTATGTGGACTATCCAATCCCGTACGCTCGGCCAAAAATTCCCCGTCGACCCCGTATAAAACGGGGTCGGGTAGCTGTTTCCCGAGACGAGACTTTGACCTTCGACATAGGCAGAGAGTTTGACCAGCACAGCTGGAGACGAATCTCCAACTGCAGACCAACATACAGTATTTACTACTGTATTTATGTGAATAGGGACATATCCCTTATCACAACAGCAATGAGGAAATAGGGCTTAGAAAATTTGACACTCACAAGACATATGGAAGGCAAATGTGATAGATGAATCACCTGTCTAAAGATCTTGGTTAAATGGATGGAAAAACAGGATTTATTAGAGAAAAAGATACCAAATTTACTAAAATTTATGAAAGACAGGATGTTGTGGAGAAACATGATCGCCAACGTCCGCAAGGGACATGGCACACTTAAAAAGGAAGAGATATCAATATGTATCTCTTAATCCATTAATATAGTTTAGTGTGTTAGCTACTTCGATAATTAATGTGTAATTATTCTTACGATAATATTTTCCATTACATGACATAATGGGGATGTAAAGTTACATGCACAAAATAACAAACCAATTGATTTGAAATGCAAGATAATATTTGTTAAACAAAATTAACAAACTGAAAGTTTAAGACAAGACTTTCTTTTCCTAGAAGCAAATTGCATACCCAATGAAATGTTAATGAATATATTAAGCGTGAATTACTGTGTTGGTGTGTTTTAGTATAAAGCGTTCACAGGCCTTTCCCTTCAGTGTCTAAAGTGCAAATCACGTAGAATCGAAGGAGGAAATACTTGGAAATGAGTTGCTCTAAGGGTTCACGCGTTTTTAAACGCCTAGGGTTGCTGCTGATACTAGGTTTATTAAAGCACTCCATATGTATATTTATTTAATATACATTCGTTGACAAGTTAAAAATGAAAAGATTTCAGTATGTGTAGTCAAAGTTGAGATGGCGGCATCGTAACCTGAAATGAATGAAAGAAAGAAGGAAAGGGAAGAAAAAGCAAAAGGAAAGTGTGAATGAAAAGAAATGGATGCTTAAAACCCGAGAGAAGAATAAACAGCCAAAAATGAATAAAGTCCAAACGAAAGAACGCGAGAACATAAAAGAAAGTGCTGAAGAAAGAATAACAGGGAGATAAAGAGGACAAAAGTGTGAAACGAACAGCAAAATGAAATAAAGACAGAAAGAAAGAAAGATTGAAAGAAAGAAAGAAAGAAAAAAAAAAAGAAAGAAAGAAAAAAGAAGAGAAAGAAAGAAAGAAAGAAAGAAAACCAGAAAGAAAGAAATGCGGAAAGAAAAAGCAGAAAGAAAGAAAGAAAGAAAGAAAGAAAGAAAAGAAAGAAAGAAAGAAAGAAATGCAAAAGAAATGCATAAAAAAAAGAAAAGAAAGAAAGAAAAGCAAAAGAAAGAAATGAAAAGAAATGCATAAAAGAAAGAAAGAAAAAAAAAAAGCAGAAAGAAAGAAAGGCAGAAAGAAAGAAAGAAAGAAAAGCAGAAAGAAAGAAAGAAAAGCAGAAATAAATAAAGAAAGAAAAAGGCAGAAAGAAAGAAAAGCAGAAAAGAAAAGAAAAGAAAAAAAAAATGCAGAAAAGAAAGAAAGAAAGAAAGAAAGAAAAAAAAAAGAAAGAAAGAAAAGGAAGAAAGAAAGAGATAAAGAAAGAAAGGAAAAAGCAGAAATAAAGAAAGAAACAAAGAAAGAAATGCGGAAAGAAAGAAAGAAAGGCAGGAAGAAAGAACGAAAGAAAGAATGGCAGAAAGAAAGAAAGAAAGGCAGAAAGAAAGAAAGAAAGAAAGCAAGAACGAAAGAAAGAATCCCATGCGTCAGTGTAAACCCCACGTTCGCCGCTCGTGGCAAGACGACCGACATTAACGCAGTCAGAATAGGGCATGATCGTTTTCTGCCGAACTGACGGGATATTCTGTTTCTTAACGTTTATATCTCTTGATCTACGCTGTCACGTCTTTACACAGCTCACCAGGTAGAAGACATTAAGACCGACCGTGAACAGCGAGTTGGGTGAAAATGGCCGAAGTTTTCGATTGAAATAGTTCTATCCGCATATAAGGTAATTTTCTAGTTTATTGTGTAATACTATTTATTAACTTTGTTATAATATTTTATATTGCTAGGGTCCACTTGGATTACGAACCAATGGATTTATTACCTTTATATATATATATATTATAGCATTATAGGAGGCACGGTGGAGTTATGGATATCGGCTTGGATTGAGGAATCGGAGAGCCGAGTTCGAATTCTCTTCTTCTCCATTACATGCTACAGGGCAGACTGGGTTCTATAGCCTTTGATGGCAACTCGTCTAGGAGAAGGACATCTCTGAATTCAAAACCTGCGGAGGGTCGTTTGGGGACCTTGTGGCACTTAGTGCAGAAGGTCTCTAAATTCGGCCCTTCAAAAAGTGTGGCTGGTCTTGCACGAAACCTTCACCACTGTAATCAAACCTCATGTGCTGTTGTCAGGCTGTCAGTTTCCTGGAAACTGATCTGCTTCACCCTCATACGTCGAATCTCGACGGGAGAGCCGACTATTATAGTAAAAAGGAAGAACAGTAAGGTATATAACCCGGTGTTCTTATTGATATTTTTATTTTTACAAAACAGTGCTCAATGTAAATTTATAGGGCACAAATATTATAAATTAACTGATTTAAAAATATGGTCCCTTCGCTACACAGGAATTACCATGTTTCAAAACCGAAGCTTCAAATTTAATTATATAATTAAAACTAACAGCATTAGTTCTGTTTCATCTTCAAGCGAATTTTGGAATAACTTATATTTAAATATACTGAGATTTAAACGCACATACAATTCATAATTTAAAGAACTTAAGTCGAGGTAGGGTAGGGGTGCCTTTTTCAATGAATTATGACATCCGTTCAACGCATGTCGTCTGTTTTTTTTATGAATGACAATAAGTTTTTCGGCACTGTTTTCCGTTAAATTCGTACTTGTATACATAAAAATTCTTTCTAAAAGGGATGTTTGGATTAGAATACATTATATTAAACTACAATTTTAAAATATTATACGTTATATTTAACTACAATTTTAAAATATTATTTTTACTCTTAATTACTAATAGATTATATTTCTTTTTAAAACAAATAAATGTATTACAATTACAGACTTAACCTCTTTCTCGAACGTAACTCATAATTGATACAATAATAATTAATGAAAATGAACACGCTACCGCCCCTGTCTAAATGATTGATTTTCTCTGTATCTTTGAAAACAAAAAATTAAGAATTGTATGTGCATTTAAAATTCAGTAAATTTAAAAATAAGTTATTCCCAAATTCGCTTGAATATGAAACAGAACGAATGCTTTTAATTGTAATTATATAATTAAATTTTTTAGCTTCGTATTTCGAAATATGGTAATTACTGTGTAGCGAAGGAACCATATTTTTAAATCAGTTAATTTATGATATATATATATATATATATATATATATATATATATGAAGAAATATATCTTAAGATGTGCTATATTTATGGGATAAAGTGCTCAATATCAGAGATAGAGCATGTGTAAATATAAATATGAAAGTGAACATAGAAGTCAACACTTAGAGGCGACAGTCTGTTTCATGTTAGATGCAAGCGTCAGGCCCACGAGTGCTGTTATTTTTCTCGGCTATTTATATATACGGGTCAGTGGTGCATTGTGGGTAGTCTATTTTGGCGGTTATTTTACCAGAAGTCGTTTATTTGTTTATTTATTTATTTGGGTTGAATTATTTTGCTTGTTTTTATTTATTTTTATTTTTTATTTCTTATTAGATTTATTTATTTACTTTATTTTAATCGATGTTTTTATTAGCATAGTAAAAATATGCGTGTGTTTGTGTGTGTGTACGTGTGAGTCTGTATTTATGCATATACGCGTATTGCTTGATAAAAAAAAACAGAATGAAATATGAATGAATAAAAATAAAATAAAAGATCTTTTGAAAAGGTCGATTCCCAAACACGATTGAACATACACACGAATGCTTGTTTTTGAAGCTCTTCCGTCTTCGGATACTTCCGGTGTTGATGACGTACGAAGGAAAAGAGAAGACAAGAAATCCTTTCCTTCTTCCAATCAAAATCAATAATAATAAAATAAAAAAGATAGGAATATTTCGAAGGAAGAGCGTATAAAAAAAAAAATTCCATAGTCCAGGATAGATTCGTTCTCGTTTCACTCATGGACGGTCGGAAGGAATCGATCCCGAGATGAGAATCCGAGAATGAAAGACAATGCCACCAGGTGATTTACAGCGATGACATGTCACCTCATTTAAGATGGCTCTGGCTGTGCAGATTCGTTAAAGAGACATGATATAGAAGGACGTATGTTAAGCATTAAAAGAAACGTTAAAACGAACAGCTCAATATCGACACGCAAGATGACGTAGTGAACAAAATTAATGGAAAAATCGAGACATTTATTTCAAGCATTTTAAAAAGTTTATACATTCTGTTACTCTTTTACGGTTGCCTTCCCATTAGATTGGTTTGCCTAACGTCCGGTTCACACTCCTCCCAAGTCTTTTAAACAGGAAAAGAGGTTTATCCCTTCGTTTGCTGTTTAGGACTGGGTGTCCGGTTGCCTCTAAAGTATTTTCTTTCTCTTTCCCTACAGTTGGTTCATTGCGTCTTAGTGGCACTATCGCCTTGCTAATGGTGCGGCCTCTTACTTTGTAAACTTCTACATTGGGTGGCTCTTGGGCCGCGTACAGTGTGTATATCATTGCAAAAGAAGACAGAACTATGTTTGTCAGTAAAAAGAAGAGCCCATAATGTGAACTACAAGTGGAGATACCAAAATCAATCTAGTAAAATTCCCAGCAATTCTAGAAAGCAGAACAGCGGACAAAAATATGATACCCATATCCAAAAGCGTATTTGGGTAACGAAATATGTCTTCCGAAAGCTAAGCAAAGTATTAAGAAACAGGAAAATTACGTTAGAAACAAAGAAATGAGTACTTAGCTGCTATGAAAATAGTGACACATACTTAAGATCAGAAAGAGACAGTTGAATTCTCTCAAGCATATGATAAGGAGAAAATTTGACACTCACAGGGCATATGGAAGTTTTGGTTTGGTTTGGTTTGTTTTACAGCATATCAACCTCAATGGGTCATTTACTGCTGAAAGCTTTTTTTCCGAGTAATATTTTTTGTTTTGTCAAAAATCAATTTTTGGTAATATTTTTTCCTCAAAAATGTCTAGCTGGTAATATTTTTTTTTCTAAAACATATTACTGGTAATAGTTTTTCTTCTTCAAAAATTTATTTCTGGTAATAATTTATACAAAGTATTTCTGGTATTAAAACCTAGTTTTACACTTTCATAATGTTTTTTACGTCAGTTTCGGGGTTAACTATTTGCCCATAGCTTGGACCCTAATAGGTGCTACCACCCCAGGTCAGGGTGGATCTGGGAACATCAGCAATTAAGAGGTGGTTCCAAGCTCCTCTAAGCCTCTTGATCAAAGGCCTTGCTGTTGGATGTAGGTTATCGTCTTACCCTGAACGCGGATGTCGTTTATCGTCATACCCAGGGCGCGGATGTCGTTTATCGTCATTCCCAGGATGCAGATGTAGTTTATCGTCATACTCAGGACGCGGATGTAGTTTATCGTCATACCCAGGACGCGGATATTGCTTATCGTCATACCCAGGACGCGGATGTCGTTTATCGTCATACCCAGGGCGCGGATGCCGTTTATCGTCATACCCAGGACGCGGATGCCGTTTATCGTCATACCCAGGACGCGGATGTAGTTTATCGTCATACCCAGGACGCGGATGTAGTTTATCGTCATACCCAGGACAGGCATATAGAAGGCAAATATCACAAAGGAAACAGCGCATAACCTACTTAACGAGCTTGCGTAATTGAATAGCAGGCCAGAGATTAGGAAAGGTAGAGAAATAGATATTTCCTAAGACCTACAAAGTACAGGATATTGTGGAGAACCACGATCGCCTACGTCATGAATGGACACAACATAGAAGAAAAACCGCTCAGTTCGACTGTTTGATAGCGATTCATGTGAAACGCATGTTGGCATATCGACATTTTTCATATTCAAAAAATTTTCAGCCAAATGTAAACACTAACCGTGAACTGATTAGTAGGAGCCATGTGGAACACATGACGTTTTCAAATGCTAAATTCTGCTGTGTGTTTCCAAGGAATGGCATAACATTGCGAAAATAAATTCCGAATCAAGAGTCACGTCGAATCTTCACTGGGGCCAATAGTGAGCTTTACTTGGTAGACATTATCGATGAAAAGAATATCGATTTTTAAATGTTTGGTTGACAAAAAATCAGATTGTATTTTTTGTTAAAATACGTTTTACATTTCAAGATGTAGGTGATCATTGGTCGCCACTGATGGCTTTTCATAAAAAATTTTATTGGTTGTAATGTCACAAATTCACGTGAAATACATTACTTGTTTCGCCATAACCATCTCTGCAGATAATTGTTTTTTTTTAACGGCATACCAAATCCTATATTGGCGGAGGAGGTAATAACATCCCTTGTTAGCAACTGTTAGAAGACTGAACCATTTTATGTAAATCTTTGTAAAACGCCTATTGCATATACACCATTGTGCAGATTTTGTGCACCTCGACGTGGTGTAATGGTTAGCGAGATTGTCTCGCTAGAATAATTATGACTGAGTAGTGAGTTCGTTCCTCACTGGGTACCCCATACTTTCGGCCTTGTGCAAATTAATTGAAACGAAACGAATAATTCCGTTATTATTCACTTTTCCTTATTTTTT